GAAGTGACAGATTTGTTCCGGCTGTGTATTTTCAAAATCTAGCGCACTCGAGCTGGTTTCTCCAAAATTACCTACCCGACCTTTAATGTTCAAAAGGCTCTTTATTTTTCTCATACTGTCTGTGCTGCAGCACCCTCTTTTCACCATCTGTCTGAAACCAGAGCCCAGTCTGCTCTGATTGGTTAGCTAGCCGGCTCTGTTGTGATGGGCCCACCGCTAAGAGATGTCCCGCCCCTTAGTTTATAACATACAATGTGTGTGTGGTAGAGAAACTTCCTCTGGAGTGAACACAGGGATTGTAGCCTTTGCAGATCATTTACATGCACACAAACCTATATAACACACAACAGGGAAGGGATTCGGGCTGCACGATATATCGTGTCGATAATCGCGATATTCACGACATCGCAGGACGTGACGATTAAAAAAAAAAAAAAAAAAGGACTTGCGATATTAAGTAAGCAAATTAACTCAAACACTTCATGTTACAATTATTTTGCTGCTTGCTACAAAAGGAAAACTTTGTGGCTCTCATGTCAGGGGTACTTGAGTGAGTGACATGCAAGCTCTGCATGCACAGCAAATCACCAATCACAATCAAATCTCCAAAACAAATGGACCCGGTGATTAAAGGTAAAAACACTGAATTAAGTGTTTCTCCAGGGCAGTTTGGCGCTGCTAACTGAGCTAGCTCAAGATCCAGGCGTCCGTGACAAAAATCCTTCATCCGGTTAAATATAGTTTAAAAAAACAAAAAAAATTGTATAGCATTAAAGTTCAAGAAAGGATGTTTTGTGGGGGGGGGACGGACCGGTATTTTCTTCCATTCCTGTATGTTTTTGTAACGGAGCTGATCTCTTCGGCCTCCGTTACGGATTGTGTAGCTTCGTTGGTGTATGTAGTTTGTGCATCTGTCTGTGATTTTAGTTTGTCTGTCTCTGTTTGCTGGTTTTGTTTTGAAAAGTGTTCCCCTTCCCCATGTCTGTTACTGTCGATTGTGTGCACCTGGTGCCCTGTGTTGTCTCCTCCCCCCTCACCTGTGTCCTGTTGGGTTGATTGGTCTGTGTGCATTTAGGCTCTGGGGTTTTTCTGTTGGGCTGTTAGTGTGGTGTAAAATCCCTGTGGTTGGTGACGGTGGGCACATGTTCAGCCGGATTGAGGCTGTGAATCAGGTGTTTGATTTAATAAATGCCCACACCGGGTTATATTTATGGACGTTATGCGTCTGCGTCCTTGCTTTGTCGGGCAGCTCAATTGTCAGCTTAATAGTTTTCATATCGCAATATATATCACAGGGGGAAAATAAATAAATGGCAATGTCAGTTTTTTCCAATATCGTGCAGCCCTAGAAGGGATACAAAAATCCTATTAGGGCCTCTTTAATGCTCTGTGTGATATAAAAAGCAGCAGGTGCTCAGTTTATGATGCCCAAAAGCTAAATAAATCGATATTAAAATATGAATAATTTCTGTAACTATAAAATAATTAGCAAATCTACAGCACCAATACATTATATTTGTTTTCAGATGTTATACCTCTACTTTGCTGTGACATCATTTTCATTTGAGCCACATTAATTAGAGTTGCAGTAAGTGGATATGAAGATAAATAAAATACAAAACACTGTTCTGTTACAGCCTGCACTGAAACAAAGCACAGGAGGGAAGGCAGTCACAAAAATATTAAAACAAGATTGTATCTCAAGAGTAGCTCTAATGAAAACCAGCCTGGACCTCTGACACCTCTTGAGAAAATAACACCTTGTGGAAGATGACTTTCATTATGAAGGACTGTGTCGAGTGCTCGGCCTACATGGTCATATTTAAAATGTAAATGTCAACTTCATTTTCAACCCAACTCGTGTACCGCAGGAATTTCATTCAATAAGCACAGAATACGTTTCAGTACATTGCTGTAAAAAAAAACAAAAAAAAAAAAAAAAAAAAACAGCTGGTCATTCTTGGTTTGATACTAAAGCCTGAAAACAACAAACAAAAATGTTACTATAGTAAGATCTCAAATCATGAGCAAACTATCTGGAACAACTAAAAAAAAAGTGTGCATTGTCCCTTCAAATGACTTGATACAACAAACCTAGTTATATTCCAGCATAGAGTATTCATCACTCTTGGCAGTTGTAATGCCATGTAGTCTACTGTGATACATAACTATTTTAAATGTCAAAACACAAAACGTTCTACTCTCACAGCGTACATTCAAACTTGTTGATCAGGTGATGCTAATGCCAAAGCTCTGCATGCCGTTTTAAGTGCAAGGCTTAAAGAGCCTTCGCCAGTGTTCTCCTGCTGGGACAAGTGGGAGTGAGTGCCTTTGAAAAGGTCCGGTGCTCAGCTGAGTGTTTCAGCATCAGATGTCGGAACATCTGTGCACTAACACCACGGTTTCCTCTACGGGTTTGAGGCTCATTTGCATATCAAATCTGCAATCTGTATTAAGTGGAGCATTGGAGGAAAGGTTCATTAGTTACCTTCAGAGCCTTGTGCAGTTGGGAAGCATCATATGAAACAGGAGGGGTCATCAAGGCCACGATCAAACTCTCAAAATGGCCCCCGAGCTCCGACTTCAGAGCGCTGACCAGGTCCTGATGTGAGGGAAAGATTATTAATAATAAGAAAAAAACAATGTGTTTTTTAACATCAGCCAAATGCGGTTTTAATAAATACAGGTTTGATTGGCGGTGTCAAGTTCCTGTTCTTAGATTGTGATCTTTTTTCAATTTAAATCAATTATTTATCCGGGCTTTTTTCATTAAAATGTCTCATTTATCTTTTAATTTGCCCATTATTGATACTGGTCCAATCTCAAAATACAATTGCATGTCATCTATAAAAAAAATATTTCAGATCTGTGAATGCGCACAAATATAAATGTCATGATTCTTTTTTATATAAATGGACACAATCTGTAGTCGACACAATTATAGTCTTTTCAAGAAAGAATAACAATTCAGAATAAAATGGCCATCTGGATATTTTAAGTTTCTTCATAGTAAATAGTCCCACAATATTGTATTCCAGCAAAGAAACAAAATCACTTTACAGTTCCCCATTAAACTATTACAAATAAGGCAACGGAACTTCCTAATTAAAGCAGCTACATGCAAAATCTCTATAACTGAATAAAAAGTAGTAGTGGAAGTAGTAGTGGTAGTGGAAGTAGTAGCAGAGGAAGTAGTAGTAGTGGAAGTAGTAGTGGAATTAGTTGCATAGAAAACCCCAATGACAACATTAGGGCTAAAATATTAAGTGATTCTTCAGAAATCATTATAACCCTTGCTCCTCCCCCTGTTGCTGACATGACTTTAGTAATAAGAACAAGACATGTACCTGCAGAGAGACGTACAAAGCATTTATTTTTTCTTTGCTATAACTACCAGCTTTATTGATTTCTGTCATCACATATCAGGGCATTGCTGGGAGCAAACCCTCATTAAATATGGTGAAAAGAGTGAGTTGTGTGTGTGTGTGTGTGTGTGTGTGTGTGTGTGTGTGTGTGTGTGTGTGTGTGTGTGTGTGTTAAAGGGATCCTTTAATCTACCGTGCTTGGCAAGTTCAATATAGAGTCAAACACTCATCTCTTTAACGGCTCAATATGTGAGACCTCTAACAGAAATGTAATTTATTTCTACATTAAATAATCCATCTCTTTTCACAAGCCGTTTCGATTTCAAATGAAATTCTAGGAGGGGGATTTTTCAAAAGATGAATATTGCAGTGCATAAATGACACTGTCTGGTATAAACTGAAACTAGCAGCAGAGAAAGAAGAGTATGCACTCCACAGGAGATAATAAAATATCTCTTATTTTAGATGGCATTGCTAAACAGTAAGAAGAAATGTTGATAAAAGGTTTATTTGGCAAAACCCTGTGATATTCAGAGATACTCCAGGAGCAATTTGGTGATTTTCGGATGCACACTATGTTTCCTCTCAAGCTGCCACTCTGCACTTACATCTGCTTTTCCATAACACCCAGGGAAAGCAAATTAACTCGCAGCTTTCAATCCACAGGTGGTCATAAAATCGCTCCACAGCGAAATAGAGGAGTGAGAGCAGGCGAGCGGAAAATGCACAGGGTCGGGTGAGACTAACTGCACTGCACTCTGGTCCACGGGGGCTAGGGGAAATTGTCACTTCTTGAATGAATGTTTTCCTGTGTGGCTGTTGAATGTTAATACAAAATGTCAAGTCTTGCTCTTTCATTTTTAATGACAGAAGAAAGTTATTATTTATGATGGCTGGCAGACTTTTAAAACTCAGCCAGATCCTTTACTTTAGTAAAAGCAGCAACAGTTCTGCTTAAAAGGATGTTGATGTAATTGGGCAACATATAAAAACCTTCATTTATACTGTAGTTAAAGTAGTATGTGACACAAAACTAGACTTTTGCACCTCTTAAGAAAATCTAACATTTTGGCCAATCAGAGGTCAGTTCAGATAGACATAGTTTTTGCCAATGCTTCTGTTCGTCCCGTCAGTGCACCAACACTATTAGGAGCCATAACTAATTTTTTTAGGGTCAAGCACAAAGAGTCCATGGATTGGCTCAGGAAAATATTGTGTTTTGGGTTAAAATGAATGGCGGACGTTATTTAAGGGGCCTGCCATGTCAAACTTTAAAATGGACCCATTCCCTTTTAAACAGCGGAATATCCTGCTGGAAAAGTAGCTCACGTCTGTGGTTAACAAGGGGCTAAATCTCACCAACATATTCTCTTCATCTCTAAAAACGTTGTCGATAACGTAGCTATAATGCCTCGAATCACAGTACGCCCTCTCACAGGGCTTTAGAAGCACACAAGTCTGCAAAGAAAACGGAAGGTCATTCTCATAGAATTGCAGCCATAACGGCATCAGGACTGTAATCACTTTATGCTAATGTTTGAATTGTATGCAATGTCAGGTTGCTGTTTGAAGCGTGTTTCTATGCCCGTGCTCGTTTGGTTTGAAGGTCTTTGGACAGAGGGGGAATAGGAGAGCTGCATGGTGAGGGCAGGTCGTTTTTGTTTTCTTCTTTCAGAAAACTGCCCACCCTGAGGTACCACTTGAATTACAATATGCTTAAAAATGATAATCAAATAGTGCCTCCCCTTCCCAATATTTGCTTAGAAGATACAGAAGTTATATCAGCTGTTTGCACTTCAAACTTGTCCTGCAGAAAAATGTACTTTGACTGATGGATAGTATTTTACAAGCTTATAGTTACTTATTTTGATGGTATTCGTTTTCAAAAAACACATTATTGAATACCGTCAGCCCCGCTCTTAAAAAATTAACTTTATCAGATATATCCGTGCCTTTAGGTGTCTACACGTGATGTGGTGGACACGGTGACATAACCAGTAACCATGACAGCAGCTTGTCATCGGCTCCGTTTCCCCTCCAGCAGCTCAGCTTACCTTTCCGTGCACCTTTTTATACACCGCCTTGATATCCTGGCGCTGATCGTTGCTGCGTGAAGTCAGAAGCATGAGGATGGTGTCTTCATGCGTACCTGCATCAAGTCAAGCCAGCATTAAATAACATCCAATAGTGATGATAATGTGATTTCTATAGCCATTTCTCTAAATAATGTTAGCAAAGCGATTTATAAACGAGAAGCATACAACTCTGTCTGTTGATGCTGCGTAATCATGATTGTGACTATGATATGTTCTCCAGTTTTTAATTTGTTGTCTGTATCCAGTCAGGATTTGTATCAAAAATGAGACTTGTCCTTGTTTAAAAAAAAAAAAAACATTTAAATTCAAACCCAAGGCAACAATGATATAATAAAAATCTCAAAACAACTAAACACACCAATTAACAGAAGATGCAATTAACAGATATCATTTGACAGAACATTAAAGTGCACAGTGGTGATTCACATTCAAACCTGTTCATAAATGCGTGCTTTTAGAAGATTTAGAACAATACCAATATTTTAGAAGCCTAATATCTTCAGGCATTTTGTTCCACAGTACAGGCGCCATTAGTATCAAATAGAGCTTCACATAATCGCTTGCCAGATATAGGCTGAATGGTTTGTACCAATCTGTTAGCAGAAGCATGAGCTCCTTGAAAATAATTAATAATAATAATAAATGGGATTTATATAGTGCTTTTCTAGACCCAAAGACGCTTTACATTACGAGTCAGGTCGACAAACAAAACAAGAACAAAAACACAAACAAAAACAGAAAAGCAGTCAGGAGGATGTTGGTTCAGAGGGGGGGAGGGGCGGGTTTAAGGATAAGCAGTTGACAATTGACAGTGCGCAATCTCCTCCTTAATGAAAAGTCGGCAAAACCATGATCTAACAATAAATACTCTCCACAAAGTCACCTGCACCCCCGAGGAAACGGCTCACGAACAGTGTTATTTCCGCAGAGGGATCAAAATGTAAAATGAGTCCGAGGTAATTACGCCACAAAGCCCTGCTGATCTGTGATCACTGCTCTGACTGTAAATGTCTGTTCAGGTCGCTATTGTGCTCCTATATATATTTATAACTAAATAACTACAGTGGCCATTCCTAATTACTCTTATTGTGAGAACAATGAACTGACAGGAAGCAACAAGGTGGGGATTCAGTAAGGTTATATTAAGTAAGAAAGCATGAGTTTTAATGGTACCACAGTAGCACACCTTTAAATCAGTGATTGTCATTTGACCTATTGATTTGCACTAATGACTGCGGGTGTTTTTTTGCATTTCTGCAATTAGAAATAACGTCACCTGAGAGAGGAAGCCAGGGTCAAATGTCAAACTGTTGAAATTGCATCCAAGACATGCCGAACAGCTTTCAAACAAAGGTGTAAATTATGTGGCAACGTGACACATCCTTTCAATTATTCATCCGTGGCAAATTACTACTGGGTTAACGGATCTGTGACATTCTGTTTTGTGAGCCTGTGCTCTTAGTGCACCATCCACAGGAATACATCAATTACTCACCCTGTGTTATATTTAAATATTGAATGAAAACTTGAAATTGAGAAGATTCCTGATGATTTTAAGTAAATTGTGCTAAGAGATGTTTTAATTACGAGTCAAGGCCCATTTACTTCAATAAATAGAGAATTTTCTAAATGTTTTGATTTCTCAGGTTAGGGTATTTCTCACTAGTGTGAGTTACAGACATAAAATAATAATTTTGAGGGCATATTATTCCCTTATGTAAAGCAGGCCTATAAGAGAATAGAGGATATTGACAATGTGATAGCCTCAACAAATAAATAAATAATAACCCTGCTGCTGTTGTGGCGGCTCACCTTACAGGGAACCCTCACACATGTCCTCTGAGTCACAATACACTGTAAATATTTCATTATGTTTTGCAACAATTTGGTTTATCCAAAATATTCTGTACAAACAATTCATGCATTTTCAACTTTTTATAGGAAAAACACCTTATTTTGAAATTCCTAAATGTTTTGCTTCACTTTAAGATGTCAATTTTAACTAAGTGTCAGTTGTATTCTCACCTCTATAAAATCGTTAGCAAAGATTGAAACTATGACTACAATTGTTTTACTAAACATCTGCCTGTGCCGTCACATTATAGACGTTTCTTTTGTGCGGAGTGTCTCTGTTTGACGCTACAATAACTGCTCATTACTGTGTTTCTTTTTATGTCAACATAAGTTTAAAACTTGGTGGTGCTCAGTTTCTCTTCTAAATTAGACCAAGCACACTGTGAAAAGTAAAATGATTTATTTTGCACCACAGGAAGAATGTCAAAACTCAGTTAAAATCAACCACACCTGCCATCATACCGTCACTGCATGCTTGTTTTTGACTGATTATACTCTGACTTTCTAAGTGTCTTTGCATGATTCAGCCTCATCATTCCTCTCCGTTTTGTTATATGGTGTGTTTTTTATCTGCTGTCAGGGAACAACAATTGCTTCACTGTCACATTTACAGTGATGTGCATCAATGTGCTTTGTCCCCGAGAATAAATACCTAAATTAAAATAAGATCAGCAAATGGAAAGTCCGCCCTGACAACTGTGTCATCACTGATGTTATATTCTTTTTTAGAGAGGAGCAGAACAAGCGTTTGATTGCATTGTAAAACTATGTATTCTACTTTGCATCATTCCACTTTAATTATAGTTCCCCAAGAAGGTGACGTGTGGAACAATGACGTTACTGCCAGGGATAAAGTAGCAGAGAGTGTAATGACGCCTTATATAAAGAATCAAGCTCATTAATGACCCTCATGTTCCCCTTGAATTTATAAAAGATTTCAAGGATCAGTGGGAACCCGTGACTATGTTAGTTGTAACTGCCACCTAAAAAAAACTTCCACTGTGTAAATCATGTAGCTATGTTTATATTTCCTTGTGGTGTTGCATGCCAAGTGTAAGAATGAAAATCTAGAAAGCCTAAAGAAGAGAGAGAAAACTGACCTAATCCCTTCATGGCTGCATGGAGAATTTCAGCATCGTGTTTGGGGTTGAAGTTGACGAAGGGTCTCACGCTGCCTCTGTACGCCTGCGGGAAGAGTGCAACACCAACACATGATGACAAATTATAAATACATTTTTAACAAAAACAAAAGTTTCTTGTACTGGTTAGTGAAACTGCTGTGAAAAACTCAATGTATGAGTTTGCTGTAAGAGATGTTTTTAATTTGCGAATGAAATTAATTATTGTTCCGACAAGTATGTCTTAAGGGAAATAAAACATATTTTAGTTATGACACTTATTTTCAGGCATCATATTTGTATGTTTTGTCTCTACTGGGACATGTTTCCATGTTTTAATGCTCAAAAAGCAATTTTTTCTCATACTGCCTGTCTTTTCACACTCTGTCTGAAACCAGAGCCCAGTCTGTTCTGATTGGCCGGCTCTGTTGTGATTGCGCAACCTCTTAGCGATGTCCCCTATCACGTACAATGTGTTGGAGCTCTAGCCAATAGAAGTGTGAGTGTTGCGTAGTGATGTCTCTACGGAAGTAAACAAAAGAGTCCAATGGAGTCGTTTCAGACCATTTACATGAACAAAAACGTATATCACGCACTACAGGGAAGGGAAAACCCCCAAAAGCATAAAAGGGCCTCTTTAAGTGGGTTGCTGTACCTTTAAGAGACGCAATAATAAAATGAATATTGTTTGACTATTCATTTGTATTGCCCTCTAATGGTCTGTGTATTATACGAGGAGAAGACGCTACCCTAATAAGAATAAAAACCATGGGCATAAAACATTTAGGAGGTACTAGACATTACTGCAGAAGACATAAAAATGTAACTCCATAAAAACCCACCATAACTCTGAGGCAAGTACCTTAACCTCAATCAAGTGTGGCTGCTGCTTTGTGTCATGCAAGTATTTTTAAAAGACACTTGGAGATTGTTCTTCAGGGGAAATGTCATTTATAGAAAAAGCAATACAAAAACTGTCTCAGCTGCAGCTCCGATCAACTCAGCAGGAAGGAGCTGTGGGAGAATATTGTCTGCAGCTCCTCTCAGCAAAGTTATCTGTTTTTATAATCTCTTTTATGATTTGTCATCTGATTTCAAGAACCTATTTTTGCAATGAGACAATGTTTACTTTGAAGTGTCACTTAAACAGGTCATTGTCACAGCTTTAACCCTGCCTGCGTCATGAAACTCAATTTAGATTTGACACTCTCTTTAGAGACAATGCATCCTTGATTCTTCTTCTACGGTAAAAAATAACTATGAGCTATTTCAAAACCTGCATTCATTACTGGGATTTGAGTCAACGTTTATTGTAAACTCAATTTCTGTCTTTTGTCACAAGATTTCGTTTTACAAAGACATCAGTTTTAGCTTTCAAGCTGTCATTTAATTCTTGCTAACGTTGCGGCTGTCGTGGTGGTAGGTAATATTACGCACCATTTTGATCTCTCAACAAACTCGAGAGGATACAATTAAATCCAGGCTATGAAATTAAGCTGCTCTCTCTTTTGGGCTAATGTGAGCATACTGCGCGAGTGGTATGTTTTTCTAATGAGTGCATTGTGGCAGAACATCATTTTAGTGAATTAGGGATCATGAACAAGTCAGGGGATCTAAAGCCTACATGTCAAGATTTCAAAGGAGAAGGAATTAGGATTTAATGAAATCAAAATGTATGCAAATAAAGCATTGAGTGTTGCATGCAAGTCGAATGCTGCTGCTGACAGTTATTTGTGATGTGTATTATTGAAGGCTGATCATGCAGCACTACAGCTCTCGGTGTGGTTTAAAAATACACTGACCTTTCAGACAAGACACACTTCATCACACAAACAGGTTAATTCTGGTGCTGTAAACACTAGTTTTAATTACCTCCAACAGTGAGGCTATGCTTGTTAGCAGTAAAAAACTACTGGGCTAATTGCCATAAAACCTGGTGGAAAGGTGAAGCACTGGTCAAATTATTATATTATATTGGAGTGGATCACAATAAGATGTAGACAATATTATTTTCACTGTAAAGACGGCCTTGAAGAAGATCTGCGCTCACTGAGTGCCATTTGAAATCCACTCCAATACAAACAAAAACAGAGTTGTTTCTGGCAGTTTTCAAAGCCTAAACTTTACATACTTTAAGGATATTAAATGTAACATAAAATAAAACAAAGAAAACAAACTCTTACCATTATTGTTGCTGATTGAAAACAAACGAAGTAGACTGGAAGAAAATGCAGCAGATTCATATTGCAGGGTTAGTAATATCTATGTAGTGTAGGATGTAGAAAAGTGTAGCCTATATAATGAAGCTCAGCGCAAGTTATTTCAGGAAGACTGGGTAGGCTATACATTCACTCCGCAGCTGCATATAATCAGCTCATCACGGGCGTTCTTAACCAATTACATTTCACCTCAATCTCCAGCAGCCAATCACCGTGCTACAGCCAAAGTTCAAAATGGTTCTCCTCTCTCCTGCAGTCAGCTGTGATTTCAGGTGTGATTTCAGGTTATCATGCTACCGCCCACCTGCTCCCCATCCACCTCCTCCCCATTAGTGATGGGATTTATGGCTCTTTGAAGGGAGCCGGATCTTATGGCTCCGTTCCTTTCAAAGAGCCGTTCAAAAGAGTCGTTCAAAAGAGCCGTTTTTTTAAAGGGGGCGGGGTTACTAGGTTTATCTGCGAAATAATCACCAGGATAATGATTGACTGTATTGTCAGACCTAATGTCAATAATCTGCATTGTAAACATGACAAAANCGGGCGCTGTCTTTAACCTATTACATTCACCTCATTCTCCAGCAGCCAATCACCGTGCTGCAGCCAAACTTCAAAATGGTTCTCCTCTCACCTGCAGTCAGCTGTGATTTCAGGTGTGATTTCAGGTGTGATTTCAGGTTATCATGCTGCCGCCGACCTCATCCCTAGTGATGGCGAGATGAAGCCTTATGAAACTTTGAAGCTTTCCAGCCAATTGGTTCGCAAAAGGGTTAATCTTGTCATGAGGCTTCGTCATGGGCTTAATTTGAATACAAACCCCCCTGTTGGTCAAAGTGTGTAAAACAGGCAGATTTGACATCTCAACAGTGTGCTTCTCATACCGAGTTCCCAATGAGTAAAGCCTTAGAATAACTCTAAACAACTAACATAAAATAATATTTTCATGTTAACAATATTGTTTTTATTCCAGTTTAATGATTGTGATTGAAAAGCCTAAGGAGGCTGGTAAACATTGCAAAGAGGGATTTGTATTCCTTAATAATATTTGTAAACTTAAAACTATATTTATTCATTTATTCATGTTTTTATTCCTACATTTATTTATGCTTTTATTTATTTATACTTATGACATGTTCCGACCTCTATATAAGTGAGGGTCTGAGCTCTTAATTCCATCGTGTAACCGGGCCCGGGTACAGGAGGGGTAATATCGTTCTTGTACATCCATGGGTATTATGAGCGTTGTGGTTCAACCGATCTAAAGCACTTTCTGAAGCATTCACGTGGTATTGAGGGGCAGCAAGGCTTCGTTTGTCATCGGTGACGTCACTGGCCCAAAACGATACAAGCCTCGATACAAGCTTCACAAAAAGCTTCCAGGAATACTCGACACACAGGGTGTTTCTCAAGGAAGGCTGCTCCAGAGCCACTATTTCAAGGATGCCACGTCATCGAGTCCAGCCGAAGGACTGTTCCAATGTCCAGGATCCTTGGAATTCTACCGAGGCCGGCGTCCTTCGTTGCGGGAAATTTCGAGGCTGCACCATGGATGTATAATAAGAACTGGATACAGCGTGGGAGGCGGGGTCTCGTTCTTTCCTATGAGAGCTGCTCATTGGCGCATGAGGACAAAATGGCCCAACTTTTGAGAGAGCGAAACGTCAGAGATTACCCATCATGCCTCGCTGTCAGAGCAGAAGTACCCGTATGTGCGCTCATAGAGCATGCGCAGTTGAGTTGCCCCTTAAACCCCGCCCCCCGAGCTCCCACTCTCAGATGCGCGTTCATAATGCCGAGGAGAATAACTCTCAGAATAACGTTATTAGCACATTTTACAACTTGAGGACCTAATGTTTTTAATAAGGGCTATACAAATGTTCATACTGGGTAGTTTATTTGGTTAAAAAAAAGTATCCAACAATTTACAGACCACTCTTTCCCAATGTAAGTCAATGGAAAAATGTGTTTCCGGGCCCAGCAACCCATACGGAAGTGTAGTACCGCCGTTTGGCCACAACGAATATTTTCTTTCAGAGTCCGGCACACTTCCTGGGGGCTTGGGCTGCACATGTGTAGACTCCGCGGTCTTAAAATCCCCACAATGCTTTGCACACGGACCAATTTCCCAAATATTTGGCGGAAAATGTAAGGCGGGGCCTCTCATATGACGCACACTTGCACAATTGCTCGCCTGTTCCATTCTTCGTTTTCCGAGGCTAGGAGGTATTCTTGCTTCACTTCTTAAGGAACTCACTCGGAGGTACATGTGCTACCAAGCAAGCCTCCTCGATATTGAGAAACACCCACAGCTAATACACACAGTGTAACGGCTAACAAAAGAAATACAATTGAAAAACTTAACTTAAACTGAAACTACAGCTGGGGCACCAGAAAGTGAATCTTAGTCAGGGAAATAATGTCCATTGTCCAGGCAGGATATCCTTTATTCCATTTATTCTAGTATTTCCAATAATATACATAAAAAAATGATGTTACACCTGGTGCCCAAATCACCAAGTGCCAAAACATGCCTTTAAAATAAAAGCATATAACTACTTGAATCAACTTAAGTAATAACACTTAATAATAATACATTAACAAAACAGCAAGAAAATACATGTTTAACTATCAAATAATAATCAATCAAAGATATTGCTCTCAACACACGCTGTGGAACAGATTAGTGAAGGTTTCTGGATCTCGTGTGCGTCAATCTTTTTAGTGTTCCCCCATGTCCCGTTGTGTTTTCTATTTGCAGCGTTTTTGTTTATGCAGGCGTTTTTAGTGAAGGCTGGCTCGTGTCGAATGATTTCTAAATGCTGTGCATGTGTTGTTGTCAAGTTGCTGAAAGAAGTTCTCATCCTGATTTCACAAAATTGTGTTTTTATATTTATACATTGTTCTTGGAAAGTCTTTTGGGCAGTGTTTTGTACTTGTCTGCCGCGCTTATATATTAGCCTTTATGGCTTCATTCATAATATATGCTTTGCTGTAAGAACCAAAACAAAGAAATCGACTCCAATTGCCAAAAGTGTGTTTGGGGAAGTTTCTCCGTCGATTGATGTTCGTCCCAAATTAATCAAATGTTGGCCTTTCTTTCCTGCAGACTGTTTAGAAAGGTGAACTCAAATGGCCCACTACGCTGAAACTAAAAACTAGGTGTAATAAAAAGTTGGCCTCAGCTGTATTTAAATTATTTGTGCTAACATCTTGTTATTCAATTACTGCAGTTCAGAGTGCTGTATTTATTCATACTTATAGACTCAAAGTGCACTCCAGAGAGCAAATACAGAAAATAATACCTTTATGTCTAAATGTGGATTGAAGAGTGCTTGAAAGCGTTGAATGGTGATGATTCAGGACGGACTCCTATCATCTGAACTCAATGACCACTAAGGTGCTGTTTTACACGAGAACGCAAACGGTGTGTATCCGCTACTTCTCTCTTTCGTAACGCCCGTTCGTTCACACGAGGCCCCGCAAACGAGTAACGGGTCGGCCCGAGGGGGGATTAGATCTGCGAAACGGAACGCTCTGGGGGGCAAAACGGCTCCGTGTGTACGCCCTTACTACGATCATTTCCTGATAACGATGAAGGCCATAGCCCCGCCTCTCCCCACCTCTTGTTGCTCACTGCTGTAAGCATGGTCAGTAGCCTACTGCTAGTTGCTACTGACCATCTACAGCTCCCTCTACCACAACCATCAGCAACAAGTGGACAATGGAAGAACTACATTTTAACTACATGTTTGCTAAGCATCCACCGCGGGCCATACACAGAAGGGCAACCAATGGCAACCGCATGGCTCGGGGTAATTCTTGCTGGCTTCACAGGCGCTGGCAATATGTAGGCTTACTAAAGTCTCC